ATGTCGTGTAAGAGTCCTTCAATATTTGAAGTAAACACAAAAGCTTCATTAAGTGGACTAGGATTACCATGTGTATTTTCTAGGAAAGCAATAAACTGAGTCTCGGTCAAAGTTAGACCAGATGGATTATTTTCATAAATGGCCGCTACGGATTGTAGTGAACTAGCTGTTAGAATATGTTCCTCTGATTTTGTAGTTTTTGTTTTTTTCTTGTGAGGTTTGGAGACAGTGTTTGTTTTTGTGGATAACGGAGGAAACATTTGGTTAGACGGTGGTTCGGGAATAAGAAAATTAATATTTACAAAACTGATAAAAACCAAAGTATGCATATAAAACATGTATGTTACTTCTGCATTAACCATTTGAGAAAAGTACGGTTATAATAATAAGTGTAGTCGGTGAAATATTGAATATGGTTTTCTATTAAAAAACAGTCTAAATCATGCCACATGTAGCATCTTGTACAACCAAAAATAATTTTTGGTGATACACCCCTTAATTCTAAAGAACTTTGAGAACACCCTGCAGATTTAGAAGCATATATTTAATTTTTTAATTTTTTGTTATTTTCACAGGATTATATTTCATGAAGTAGGCTTTGACCGTTTATAAATGTCAGGAAATTGTATTTTTGTTCATTCTGCCATAATAAATATATTCCTAATTAGTTAATAAGTTGGGAACTATTTCCCATATAAACGGAAACAGCACATGCTCATAAATATTTTCATTATAAAGTTCACTATCGAAAACCTATGCAAATTAATTGTCATATCTCAAAACCATTTGGTTTGGTAGATACGTCTAATAGGCCACACCGAAAGAAACCCTATATTAATAAATATTTTAAAGCAATAATGTCCTTAAAATACTTTCTGAATTTAACAAAATTACCACATAAACTAGAAATATAACAGGCAATCTTTCGCATTAAAAATCAGCACCTTAGGGCAAAAATGCTGGTGATGAGCTTACCTATCTGCGGTGATGAGTTTACCTATCTCCAAAGGATGCCGGTGATCTGTTTACTATATCTCGGAGGGTGTAATAATTTTATGGGGGGCTATAAAGCGATTAGTTTGTGCACGTCCTTGTTTACGTGGTAATTTATTAAATTCAGAAATTATGTTAAGCAAACTGCAATAAAATTGAATTAATAAATTCATATTTTGCGTCTCTCAGTGAGTGACCTATTAGTCGTATATGCAATTTTAAACAGATTTGAGATCTGAAAATTAAGCGGCATAGATTTTTATTTGTGAACTTTTAATATAAAAAATTGTGAGTATAATGCCATTTCCAGACATATTGTAAAGAGTCTTCACTCTTTAATAACTTTAAACTCTGAAATAATGTTAATTTGTTATACTCCTCAGTTATCCATAAGATAATAGCCGAAATAGGTAATAATTACTTTTACATATGTATGTACAAGACCACTGACTTGTCAGGAAGATACATTGTGCACTTATTGATTGGTGTACTTAGCGATGAAACTTTTCCAAAATCGTATAATTTCCTGTAAGCAAGTGGAAAAAACTAACTCTCTAACAATATCACGCTTTTTACAAGAAGCATTAGCAAACTTTTTCTTCCTGCTGCTGTGCCTGTGATAAATTATTGCTTATTTTATCTGATGCCGCACCATATATGGTGAAAGCAGGACAAAATTTGAAAATATTTTATCCAAACTTAAAACATGTCACTTATTTAGCGCATGGAATAAACAGAGTTGCGGAGGAAGTAAGACAAAAATTTAAACTAGTTTACAGTTTAATAGAGAGCGTCAAAAAGGTATTCCTGAAATCACCTGTAAGAATATGTTACAGAGATATGCTTCTTGCTGTTCCACTGCCACCGCAACCCATTTTAACACGTTGGGGAACATGGTTGGAAGCAGCTAATTTCTATGCTGATGATTTCGTTGATTAAAAAAAAAAGAATTAACCTTTTAATGGATGATAGTTGCCAATATTTATTGGAAACTAAGCAAGTCTTCCAAAATAACATCCTCCAACAGCAACTGTCATTCATAAAATCAAATTATAATTTTGTTCAGAAAACTATAACTCAATTAGAATCCTCCAAATTATCATTTTTAGAGGGTACAGTTTTAATAAAAGAGTATGAGACATTGTGTCAAAACGTTAAAGGTACTTACTATTGGAAAGAAAATTTTTTTTTTCAAAAATTTAAAGTAACCAGGGAAAAATAGTGATTCCCAGAGTCTTTCTGAAGTGGTTTAAGTACCAGTTGGGACTATACTAATTTGGAATCATCTATTATAGTAACTTTGAAAAATGCCCCAGTTAGATCAGTTGATGTCGAAAGAAGTTTTTCTATTTACAAATATATGTATCCAAATAGAAGCCATAAGTTTTTATTAGAAAATTTTGAACATCATTTGATAATCTATTGTTACCACAGTTCAAAATAATATTTATATGTTAAAATAATTTTACGTTTATTTTTTTTATTTTATTTATTTTGTAAATAAATAATATTGTAAATATTTTTATTACAATCATATTTTCTAGATAAATATGCATATTTTGTATAAAATACTGCATATTTTTGCATAAAATGCTGCATTTATGCGCATATTTCATACTTTTTTATTTGCATATTTGCCTTTGTCTAATTATAACAAAACTAAAGCATTTCTGACATTTTATAATGCCCTATTCGATTTACGTCGGGTATAAAAAAAATGAATTGCTCTGGAGGAAGATGAGAAAATACATTTTTTATGTATACCGAGGTTGATATTTGAAATTCAATTTTCTTCAACCTAATTTTTTTGGTATTTGTCACGCACACTACCGATGGTTTTATTATTATATATTATAAATATCTTGACATGAAAATTTTTATCGAGAAAGAGTTGCGAAATAAAAATATAATGGTATATAAAGGTTATAAGTTTCCTAAATTAAATTTAAGCTAATATGTACCAAGATATTCTATTAGTCTATAAGCCAAAAAATTATATAATTTTAAAGCATTCCTGAAGCAGTCCAAACAATCCGATTTTAATTCCATAAAGTATGTTAGATAGGTTAAGCGCGTTTTTATCAGTTAAAAAATTTGCAATGTTCTATATGGTGTAGTTTTTGTTGTGAAAGATTAAAAAAAAATCAATTTAAAAAAATGTGAAAAACGACTTAATAATTTAAAAACTACTATTAATATTTATTTATAATATATTATTAATATTTTGATCCGATCTTAAAATCAAAACGGTAAAATTTGTAATTTTTCTACGATTCCTTTTTTTTATTGTATATTATATAAAATATTTAGTTCTACGAATGATGCCATACAAAATAAAAGGTGTATATTTCCGATTAAAAATAATAAAAATTAAAATTTTATTGCACAATGCAAATAAATTTTTTTCTTATCAGAATAACTTCGGTACTTAGGTTCAACATTTTGTAGCGATATATTATAACTGTCAAACTTTATATATCTGATACAAATTTATTATTATAAAAAATTCTATTTGCGTAAACAATTTTGTATAAAATTTATGAAACTAGGAACCTATTTTTTTGTTATAATTTAAAACAAAGAATAAACATATTACATAAAAACAAATGAAACTCAAAAATACAACACATAATTTATAAGTACTTACCAAAAAAAAAACAATCAACTAAAATTTTCGAAAATATGTTCCCGGCGAAATCACTCGCAGTACGTGCGCTGTGCGTTAGAAAACAGTCCCTCACCTCGACACTGTTACAAGTTCAAGATTCAAAATACAACTGATTGGCTCTCGCCATTCATTCATAACTTGGAAACTGTCGTCGCTGAGAGGTTGTTCTCCGAGAGGGAAAATTTGGAATGGGGTTGTGCTGTGAGGTTTTCGAAGAGGTGTCCTTTCCGTGAGGATAGGATTGAAGAGATAATATACTAATATTTGCGCATGAACTCTACAATATCTTTGAAATAAAAAGACATAGTTAAATATTCTGGTAATTAATACATAAATGAACTAAATACGTTAAAAAAGAATTTGTTGAAAATATAGTTTGTCCAAAGAAATAAGTGATTTTCAAGACTTTGCAATATCTAGGTATTTGACGATGTTTTCCTCTAATACATACTTTTAGTCAGAAAACCTATACATTTCAGTTATTATTTTCATTTACCATGAAATGGGGTGAGATTGATCAATTTTAACTTTAATTGATTTATATTTTAAACGTTTTTGTGACTTTTTATATTTAAACACTTCACATGTTTTATTAATATCTAAAGAGTAGTGATTTAACACTAGTTTTCTTTTAATTATTAAGAAAATCTACTTACCTCATAAAAATGTGTGATCAATCTTAGACCCGTACTGGAGAGAGATTGATCATGATTTTATAGCATGAAACAGTAGTGCTTTTAAATAGAATATAACTAATTCGGTCAGACAGTTTTTCGAATTTTTACAAAGGGGTGAGATTGGTCATGTGGCCATTTTAATTATTAAGAAAATCTACTTACCTCATAAAAAAGTGTGATCAATCTTAGACCCGTACTGGAGTGAGATTGATCATGATTTTATAGCATGAAACAGTAGTGCTTTTAAATAGAATATGACTAATTCGGTCAGACAGTTTTTCGAATTTTTACAAAGGGGTGAGATTGGTCATGCGGGGTAAGAATGATCACACTATTTTTATTGTACTATTCTTTATTTATACAAAAAAAACATATTTTAACAACTAAAAATGTAATTCAGAACAATTTATAAAAAAAGAAAATTTGATTTAACATTCTTTTATATTAATTTTTCCGCGAAAATGATATTTTTGTATCCTATCAGAAATCGTCTCAAGTGTTGGATCTGGTAGTAAGGCAACTACTTTCTTGAAGGAAACAGTGGATATGCCATTTTCAATTATTTTAAAAATCTTCATCGATCCTGCTAATTAAAGGCCTTGAACTTCAATTTCTTCTCCTTCTAAAACTCCTTTTACCTGACAGACATAGCGAAATTCCGTCTATTTCCGAGAATCAGATAAAAAACTTACTAACAGGAATTTTCCATTCGTGATGTTTTTTAATGAAGGACAGAAGTATTCAACCTCCTCTTCATCTTTGTTAATATCAACATCACTGTTGCTGTCATCTAATTCCAGGTTTTTATTTGAATCATCGTCACTGGACTTCTCTGATGGTTTAGGTGCTGTAACACTTTGACCAGGTTCAGCTGCTAACAGGTTTTTTTACGTCTAGGTTTTTCAGAGCCGGAATTGTGCCTCAAGTATTTCAAAAAGTTAGTAAGAGAGCATCTAATCTCGGCTTGATCAATAGCCTCTTATGGTAGCTGTTCCAAAACTCGATTGAGTTTGAATGGTGCAATGCCACTTGCTTCAAAACCAGAAAGTAAATTTCTTTTTACTGCACTTTTCTCTCTGTCTGGATTTTTAGGTAGTACTTTATTTATGATTGCAAGTGTTTGCTTTAACAGCTTAGGAAATTCATTTTTCTGAATGCCAGAAGTTTTGGAATTTTACATTTTCCATGATGTTAAAGTTTTCTTCTACCTTTCTTTTAAGAGCCTGACGAATGCGCATCCAATGGCTGGCAAATATTAGTAGAGTTGGCTGGTAAGCATGCAAATATTATATTATTTTCTTTACATTGTCTCAGAACATCTGGATTAAAATAAGATGCTAGGTTGTCCCCTATTAACACCTTTTTTCCATCGAGTCGCCTAGCATGTGGTAAGAAGCAAGTGACAAACCAATCATTAAATGTTGACACATCAATCCAACCATGGGAGGTTCGATTATATCGTATCCCCAGTGAGCAACATGGCTGTTCGCAGCATGGGCTGACCTTGGGACCATTTTCTGTCCAATTATCCCATAAATTTTCCACCTTGTATATGACGTAAGGTGGCAGAAGTATACCTGCGGCGGATCCACAAATCATTATCGATGTAGCAGATTTTGAATGGTTGCATATTTTTTCGGGATATTTAGTACCTCTTCGGTACACTTTGTAGAATCTACATGTATAAAACGTATAAAACTATTTTTTGAGTTTTGATCGTAGAATTTTTTCAAAAATATCAGAGGTTTTAGTAAAATGTCACATTTTATCGTAAAAAATAACGTAATAACCTTTGCTAAAAATAATTTTAAAATCAGTGCATTAAAATAAATAAGTTTTTTATAATGAATAATCCTATTCTAAAACTCACATTTTAACGTAAAATTATATTTAGCTAAATTTCTTAGAAGAATATTTAAAAAATTAAAACAGTAAAAAAAATAAAAAAAATAAATTATTTACAGTCCTTTCCTATGCCAAATAAGTGTTCTAAACGTAAAAAAACAACACGATGTTCACATCTATATTTTGTTTCTTTGTTCTTTTGAGATCCACAAAATTTGCATCTTTCAGTTTGCCCGCTTTGAAGAGAACTTTCAGTTTGAAATTGTGTTTTGAAAATCTGAGTTGTGTTAAAGTCTCTGGTCCATAAGTTTGTACAGGTAAAACACATTGGTTATAAATCTTTCGCTTGAGACCAGGTAATGGCCTATGAATACCTAGGTCATGAGATCCGCATAGAAAAAGATAACCAAACCGTTGAGCTTCTCCGTGGTATAAGACTGACTTGGGCAGCCTTCGGCAAGCTGAAACATATTTTCATATCGTCTGATATACCAAGATGCCTTAAAAGAAAAACCTTTAATCAGTGTGTTTTGCCAGTGTTGACTTAAGGTGCGGAAACGTTGACCATGACAAGGAGAACAGTTCAAAAGATCCGTGTGTGTCAATGGGCGATGGAGCGTGATATGTTGGACGTTTCACTACGAGACAAAAATCATGATTGTGAACCACGCGAATATCCTCCAAACAACAGGCGCCCTAAATCAATTCGAGAAAGTAGACGAGTTCACGTATCTAGGATCTTCCTTAAGCAACGCAGCCTCCTGCCATACGGAAATTCGCAGAAGAATAGGAATGGCCAAGAACGCGATGAGTCGACTGTCAAAAATATGGAAGGACCGCTCTTTGTCCAAAAAACTCAAAATGAGACTGGTACGGACACTCGTTTTTTCAACCTTTAGTTACGGTGCCGAAACATGGACAATAAAATCAGAGGATAGGAAAAGGATTGACGCATTCGAAATGTGGTGCTGGAGACGAATGCTACGCGTCTCGTGGACGGAGCACAGATCCAATCAGTCGATTCTCAAAGAGCTAAACATTCAGACCAGACTCTCCTCTCAGTGTCTTGCAAATGTTTTAAAGTTTTTTGGCCACATTGCGAGAAGAGACAATGACAACTTAGAAAGACTAATTGTGTGCGGAAACGTAGAAGGACGTAGAGGCCGAGGACGCTCACCTATCCGATGGTCAGATCAAGTACAGAAAGCCACTGGAGAGACGTTTTCCTAGTCCATGAGAGCAGCCCAAAGTCGCAAGAGATGGAGAGAATTGACAGCCCGCATTGTAGGGAATCACGATCCTCAGCAATGAGGAAACGACAAGAGAGAGACATGTAGATTGCTTTGTTAATGTTTTTGTCCGTTTAAAATTAATTATTGTAATTACCCTTTGTCTTAATATCTTGTATATAAAATTTTTATAAAGGTTAAAACCAATTAAATTAGGATATTATATTATATTAATGTTTAAGTGGCGAAGTACTACAAGTTTATTGGTTAACTTTTTTATTTCCAACTTTCACATACAATCGGATTGTCAAAATGGGATAATGTATTAAGGATTCTAACAATTTTTAAAAAAGTACTGCAATAACGATGTTCGTCGTACAAGTTCCTTCTGTTACGACCCTACGAAAAAAATATGTAGATTCCAGTATGCAATATATTGTTTAAGCGATTAAAACTTTAATTGGGAGTAATCCAATACGGATATCTGTTGATAAGACGACTGTTGTTATAGGACGGTATATTGCAAATAGGAAGTTTAAACGGGATTGAGTTCACGGATATTTAGTTTCCGTTAAGGAGTTGCAAAAAACGAACAATGTAACTATTTTTAGATTTGTAAATGAATGTCAAGTAACTTTTTTTATCTCAAGCGATACCAACTGAAAAAAAATGTTATTGTTAAGTGAGGCTGCGCCGCCATATATGATCAAAGCTGGACAGCATTTAAAAATATTTTTTTCAAATTTACTACACGTTACCTGTTTAGCACATGCTTTAAATAGAGTAGCAGAAACTGTAAGGACAGAGTTTCCAATTGTCAATAACCTTTTTTTAATAAAAGTAAAAAAAAATATTTTTAAAAGCCGCTCTGCCAGTACAGGCGTAGAGACGCTATTTGTAGTTTCGGTGTAGATAGCTTAGGTGTTATAAAAAAATGTATAGACGTTTTAAAAAAACCAGCATTAAAAAGTAAATTGGCACATATCCAAACCAATTTTGTAAATATTGCCTAATCAATTACTAGATTAGGAAAGCGAAACATTTAATTAGACCAAAGTATTAAAATTATCATTTCATTAAATGAAACAATTAAACACCTTGGAAAAGGTGTTTAATGTGGAAACACCAGGGAAACCAAAAAAGTGTATGAAAAATTCTGCGCAGTGTTAATAAATATAAGGGATATCAAAAAATAATTTACATAAATAATATTATTAAGATGGGGAATTAAGAAAGTAATTTAAATTTACAGGTAGAATACTCAATTATATAATATTTTAAGTTTGCTCCTTTAACTTTATGTGAAGTAGAAAGAAGTTTTTAGCATATTAACAATTATTATTAGATACATGGCACAGTTGTTCTCTAGAAAATTTAGAGAAACATTTAATAATATATAGCTTTAACTGTACTAATAGTATTATAGAGGAGTCATCATTTAATCTTCACTTATCCACTGCTGGACATAGATCTCCCTTATAATTTTCCATCTATTTCGATCTTGTGCCTCTTGCATCCAATTCCTATGACAACATATTAGATCGTCAGTCCAACGTGTTGGCGGACGACCTCTGCTTCGGTAGTCATCATCTCTTGGTCTCCATTCCAGTATCCGCTTTGTCCATCTATTATCTGTCATTCGAGCCACGTGACCTGCCCAGTTCTATTTCAGTGTTGCTACTCTCTCTACTGCATCAGCCACTCCTGTTCTTTGTCGTAGCTGGCGATTTGGGATCTTGTCTCGTAGTGAAACGTCCAACATATCACGCTCCATCGCCCATTGACACACACGGATCTTTTGAACTGTTCTCCTTGTCATGGTCAACGTTTCCGCACCTTAAGTCAACACTGGCAAAACACACTGATTAAAGGTTTTTCTTTTAAGGCATCTTGGTATATCAGACGATATGAAAATATGTTTCAGCTTGCCGAAGGCTGCCCAAGTCAGTCTTATACCACGGAGAAGCTCAACGGTTTGGTTATCTTTTTCTATGCGGATCTCATGACCTAGGTATTCATAGGCCATTACCTGGTCTCAAGCGAAAGATTTATAACCAATGTGTTTTACCTGTACAAACTTATGGACCAGAGACTTTAACACAACTCAGATTTTCAAAACACAATTTCAAACTGAAAGTTCTCTTCAAAGCGGGCAAACTGAAAGATGCAAATTTTGTGGATCTCAAAAGAACAAAGAAACAAAATATAGATGTGAACATCGTGTTGTTTTTTTACGTTTAGAACACTTATTTGGCATAGGAAAGGACTGTAAATAATTTATTTTTTTTATTTTTTTTCTACTCGTTTTTAGAGCTGATTCTTCTTTGCATTTTGTTTGTTATTTTGAAAAGGTATATTTTTATTTTAAATAAAAACTTCGCCAAAATTGCAAGAAAATAATACAACATTCAGAAAGCTAGAACAGATCGAACACTGGGCTAGAGAAGTTTATTGAAATGCTGATGGTCATGCAGTGCAAACTGTAATTACTGTCTTCCAGTACTACTGTGAGACGAACCACTGTCATTCATGATAATGTATAAAAAGCAGAGAAATCCATGTATAAAAAGAGCATTGGGTTGGATGCGTCGAGGTGAGAGATCTTCTTGGCAAGACGTTAGTGCATGTAAGCCACATGTCTAGTCTTACTAGGGCCAATGGAATTGTCTGGTGATAAAAGATGATCTTCTGTATAGAACCTTTGAAACGATGTAGGTAAAGAATTTTAGCTTCAGTTGATTGTAACTAAAATTAAAGTGTTAGAAGTATTACGTCAGTTGCATAAATGTGCATCAGGTGA